AATGCACGTAACGTAAGCTATAGATTTTCAATACTAACAGTGAATTTTAGAACATAGCTGAGCATGCTTGAAATAATACATTCAAATTTATCACATAACGATGACGTATTCTTGGTGACAATTTGATTGGCCGCTCGGTATCATATGCGCAAGAGCCTTGTATTTCTATCATGCTTTGAACCACTGCGCATTCTTGGGAATGATTCACCTCTTTTCTTACACATGGTTTCAAGTATATTTGTCGATAAAAATACCTCTATATAGTAAATTGTAGAGGAGAAAATTTCTTACAAATTATGTCCAATACATTTTTTGTCAAATTAATATAGCTTACTCGTATCAAAAATTTTTAGCGTTATTGAAAAATTTATGTCATTTTTGACAGCCTAATACGGACCTCTTTGAATACGGGCAACCTATTAATTTGACGAAAAAATATATTCAATATAATTTGTAGGAAATTGTCTCCTCTACAATTTACTATAGAGATATTTTTGTTGACATCAAATATACATCTGGAACGAAATATATGCGAAAAACTGATTTTCGAAAAGCCGACATTACTTTTAAAAGCGATCAAAAATCAATTTTTTGCATATATCTCGTTCCAGATGTATTTGATCAAATATACATATTTTTGTCGATATCGATGTCGACAAAAATATTTCTATAGTAAAAAATATTTCTATAGTAAATTATAGAGGAGACAATTTTATACAAATTATATATGTTGAATATATTTTTTTGTCAAATGAATATGTTGCCCGTATTAGACTTTCAAAAATGAAAAATAAATTTTTCAATAACGCTAAAAACAGCTTTTAATACGAGTAAGCTATTAATTTGACAAAAATGTATTGGACAGAATTTGTAGGAAATTTTCGCCTCTACAATTTACTATATAGAGATATTTTTGTACAAATATACTTACATACCTGAATGATCAAATATATGCGAAAAATTAATTTTTCTCCTTATGATATTAGGCAATCTCTCTAGATTCTAAAAAAAACCTACAAGTCTTACTACCTGACTATCTGAAAATTGCTTATGCTTTTGAACTATTATGACACATATATTTTTATTTATATATTATATATGACACATATATTTTTATTTATATATTATATATATAATAACGTGGAAAAAGCTGTTTTTAGCATTATTGAAAAACTTATGTCATTTTTGACGGACTAATACGGGCAACCTGTTAATTTGACAAAAAAATATATTCGACATAATTTAAGAAATTTTCTCTACAATTTACAATAGAGATATTTTTATTGAGAAATACATCTGGAACGAGATATGCAAAAAACTGATTTTTGTTTGATTTTTTAGCCATTTTTTTAATATGGCGGTGCCGGCACGTCAATTTTTTGATGGCAAAATGTAAATTTGTAATAAGGGCACCAAACTACATAATTATGCCAAATATCAAAATTCCCTTGAGACTTTCCAGGTAAATCCCTTTTTAGCTCCCTATAGTGACTGAGCTATAGGTTTGTTTTTTATAGCTGAACTAGCTACACTAGTTCAGAGTTTATCTTTCTTTTTTCAATGTAGAAAGAGAAAGATAAACTGTGAACTAGTGTAGCAGTTCAGCTATAAAAAACAGGCCTTATATGTATAGTTAAAGAGCCAAATACAATTTGAAAAGCATTTTATCCAGTCCTGTATATACAATATAATACCGAGCCCAGACGCGGCATCGGCAAGGGACTGCGTCATTCGAGCAGTCGAACACTGCCGAACACACAACACCCGAAATATGCAGTCAATGCATCCCAGCCGAAATAATTTCAAGAATGTATTCTAAAATTTTAATTATCATTTCGAGAATTTGGGATTTCAAATTGAAAAAAATTAAGAATCTTGAAAATTGACAAAGTAAGTACCAACTACCAAAAGAATATAAAATAAAAAGAAGGGCCGGCAATAAAAAATGACAAGAATTACCATTTTAACAATTTCTTAATTCTATCTTAATTCTTAAAATTTGAAATATGAGAATTTCAATTCTTAAAAATAAAATTAACATTTTATGTTAATTGTTTCTAATAACTGAAATAACAACTCACATGTTTTACATCGTTATGCGTGCTATTAACCGCGTGCCCCTCATCGCTACACGTTGAATTCATTTGATTATCATAGATAAGATATCTCGCGAGAAGCGTATTTTAAGAAATCTCTTTCTTTCTCTTTCTCTTCGAAGAACGTTCTTCAGCATGATTGGAATCTTCTCATTCGCGTTTATCCTCTCTAGTTTTGTACATACAAGTAAGTAAAATTTTATGGTATTTTTATTAATTATTATTATAGGAAGTTGTAAGATATAGTGAAGAATTTTGTTGTGTAAGACAATTTTTGTCTATGTGCAATTGAGACTTTGTTATAGTAATAATTGTTATCGCTTTACTTCTTGTGTTCGTGCATTTTATTATAATCTTATATTAGACATATATCTGCGCTTCTCGTTTATTAATTATATTCAATAAAGATATATTATTTTTCTCAATATAGTGATAACTGTATAAATAGAAGGAGAAATAATTTAATTATTATATTATATAAAATTTTCTTTAGCGACAATTTATTCACGAAGGGAGTATTTATGGTGTTACGATTGTAATACGGATTTAAAACATGGACATAAAGGAGAGTGCAACGATCCTTATACACCTGGTGCTTTTGATTTAGTCGCCTGTCCTCACAATGAATCTCATCATTGCCATAAAAGCATCATATTATGTACGTATATTAAATGTTGATTTGCACATTGCGTGATCTATTGCAAAATACCGCGAAAATCTTTTTTTCTTAATTACTTATGCCGGTTGAAGTAAATCAGACAAAGTTGTGCAAAATAAAAATAAAATGTACAATATTTTTGCAGATAGAAATATTTTAGTAACAGTACGTGCCTGCGTGTCATCACGTCAGATCAACGAATACTGTAATTACGGAGACAGTTTTCCGCATTCAAACATTGAGTGTTATTTCTGTAAGGAAAATGCCTGTAATGATAAAGGATTATTTAGTCCTGTGTCAGAATGGTGTCTCGGATTCATTGCAATTATTTTGTCATGGATATTAACATAAAAATGTAAATAATAAAAATTGATGAAAATTCATTGATATTTTATTATGTTTAATTCTAGATCACCGTACCGTAGTACGTGCGATTTAATTATTTCTATAAAATTATATTTCTTTAAATTATTTGAATATATTACTAAAATATTTTAATTGATTTGAACAATTAAGATGAGAAAACGTCAACAAGGTACAAATCGGATCTTGATGCTTAATAATATTTTTATTACATATGAATCTTACAACTCTCAGTTTACTACGCGCCACATAATTGTCGGTCTTTAAGGGGGAACACCACTGTGACGAGTTCAAAAAATCGATTTTTTTTGCATTTTTGAATGTTTGAAGTCTTAAAAATATGTCCCTAAAATATTATGTTGAAATTCACAATGGAACTATAGTAAATATGTAATAAAAT